AGACACAATTGTTACTCAGGGACACAGAATTGTTACTGAGGGACACAGAATTGTTACTGAGGGACACAGAATTGTTACTCAGGGACACAGAATTGTTACTGAGGGACACAGAATTGTTACTCAGGGACAGACACAGAATTGTTACTCAGGGACACAGAGATTGTTACTGAGGGACACAGAATTGTTACTGAGGGACACAGAATTGTTACTGAGGGACACAGAATTGTTACTTAGGGCCACAGAATTGTTACTCAGGGACACAGAATTGTTACTCAGGGACAGACACAGAATTGTTACTCAGGGACACAGAATCGTTTAATTAAAGAGTATGTCAGACAACATGCAGAGGAGTGGCAGAGGAGGCAATGTTTTAGGAGCGAGCAGACGTGGCAGCAGAGGAAGGGGTCGAGGCAGCACTATTCGCAGCCAGAGGCCAGTGCTCCCGGTGTCATCCAGCGGTCGTGTCTCCACCGACACCTGCCTGCCGTCATCGATTGGTTGGCTCGGTCGTCTTCCTCTTCCCAGGTCACCTCTGACACCTACAGCCAACGGTCGGTGGGTACGTCAGACACAACCGTTAGTTGGCATGGCCCGGGACCAAGCCCACTGAAATCACGTGTCCTCTACCTGCCCCTGTCCTTTGGTGTTCCCTCACCAAGCGAAGTATCGCATGCTGTGGGCTCAGCCCCACTGTACAGTGAGGAAGAGCAAACAGAGGGCGGTCAGGAACGGGGGGAGACATCCGCCTCTTCAGCAGCCAGGCGAAGAAGTAGTGGCGAGGAGAGTGGCTCGGTAGCCGGTCTAGAGACAGGTCTGTCTCCTGACCCACACGCAGCCGAGGGGGCTAGTAGTGAGGCGGAGACCCTAATTGATGATGATGAGGCTGATCGCACTTGGCAGCCTCGTCGTCATCAGGCTATTGCTTCCGCATCATCAGGAGAAGAGGGTGGCAGCTTGGCAGCGAGCAAAACAGTCGGTGGGTTGCCCAGGAGGCAGCAGGGTCGCAGCAGTGTCAGTGGAGGCAAACGGCCACGGAGTACAGCACCAGCTCCACTGCAGCCTACCACCACGGCCAGTAGTGGTGCCGGTGTGCACGGAGGAAGCAGCAGTCAGCCAGTGAGGAGTATCGGGGGCAAAGTTTCCTACTCGGCGGTGTGGCAATTTTTTGTCAAGCCGCCCGAGGAAGTAAACGTAGCCGTATGTCGACTATGTGGCCAGAAAGTCAAGCGTGGCCAGGGGGCCCATGTTGGGACTACAGCGTTGCGGCAGCAGCATATGCAGCGTCGCCATTTGGTGGCCTGGGAAAACCGTGATAAAGATACGGCGGTTCTGCCCGCCCCAGCCCCCGCTCCATCACCCGCTCCGTTACTTGCTCCGTCACCCGACGTCAATCGCCCTCTATCAGCCAGTCAAGGCTCCAACACCTCTGCTGAGGGGAGTTGTCGCTCGTTGGCATCTTTCCGCTCGTTCAGATGCTCCTTCCTGCTGCTACTCCTCTTCACGGATTCCGTCAGCAGTCTTTCTTGGAATCCGTTTCCAAGAGACAACAGTTTGCGAGCACGCACCCGACGGTGCAAAAGCTGAACGTCCTCCTGTCCAAGTTGCTGGTGCTGCAGTCCCTCCCTTTCCAAGTGGTGGACTCAGCACCTTTCCGAGAAATGATGGCTTGTGCCGCGCCGCGGTGGAGAGTGCCAAGCCGTCATTTCTTCGCCAAAAAGGCAGTGCCAGCCCTGCATTCACATGTAGAAGAGATGGTGGGCCAGTCTTTGAGCATGTCGGTCTCTGCCAAAGTGCACGGCAGCGCCGACGTGTGGAGCTGTAACTACGGTCAGGGACAGTACATGTCATTTACGGCCCACTGGGTGAACGTGGTGCCGTCACAGCCGCACCAGCAACTTGGACAGGTCACGCCGCTTTTGCCTCCACGTTTGCACGTCCTTGGTCCACAAAAGATGTCCGCCTCTACCACCTCTTCTTCCTCGTGTCCTCAGCCGCCACCCCCGTGCCAAGTCCCATTACCCGACCGGCATATCACATGTGCAGGGCGCAACGGTGTCACGCTGTGCTGCACCTGGTATGCCTTGGCGAACGTAGTCACACAGGGGAGGAACTTCTCAGTGTAATGAACAGAGAAATCGACAGATGGCTGTCTCCGCGCAAACTGAAAATCGGAACCATGTTGACCGACAACGGAAAGAACATGGTGTCTGCTCTGCGTCAAGGAAGGTTGTGCCATGCGCCATGCATGGCTCACGTGTTCAATCTGGTTGTCAAGCGGTTCCTAAAATCCACCATCCCACTGCAAGACATCCTTAAAATGTCACGTAAACTTTGCATGCATTTCAGCCATTCCTACACCGCAAAGCACACCCTCCTTGAGCTGCAGCGGCAGAACGGAATTCCACAGCATCGCCTGATCTGCGACGTTGCAACAAGGTGGAATTCAACCCTACACATGTTAGACCGCCTTTACGAACAGCGAAAGGCCATCACCGATTTCCTGATGTTACAAGCGGATAAAGGTACTCCCCTGTGTAACTTCGATGTCAGCCATTGGCAGCTCATGCGTGACACCTGCCGCTTGCTCAGGCCCTTTGAGGAGGCCACGCTATTCGTGAGTCGGCAGGACTATGGGATGAACGACGTCATTCCTCTGTTGCACGTCCTGGAACAAATGCTGTTAACAATGGCTGGTCAGGGTGCGGTAGACGTGGCGCACAGATCTCAACGCCACATGACCCCTGTGGGGGCAGGGCAGGACAGGAAGAAGAGGAGGAGGTAGAGGAGGACATTTGTGCTCAGGAATTATTGAGTGAAATGGGTGGTTTTTCCACTCAGCGGACAGGGAGTGGAGGAGCAGGAGCATCTGGTAGAGGAGGAGGAGGAGGAGACAGAGGACCCAGACGCACCGTGGCAGTATGCTGTGGAGATGGAGGCAGGGAGTCCCTCGCATTCCTTGGCACAATGGCCCATAGCATGCTCGGTTGCTTGCGTAGCGACAGCCGAATAATAACCATCAGACAGAGGGATGACTTTTGGCTGTCCACCTTGTTGGACCCTCGCTACCGTTCAAAAATGGTGGCCTTTTTCACACCTGCTGAGAGGGAGGCCAAAATAACGTACTATAAAAACCACCTATGTAGTCAGTTGGTCTCTGCCTTTGTGCGCCAACGTCCATCCTCAGACACTGTGGGCCCTGTGCGCTCGCGTTCCGCTGCCATGGCAGCAGGGGGGGGGTGGGGTGGTAGGAGCAGTGGTAGCTCCACCAGCAGCGGCTGCCTCAGTCTGCAGTCGATGATGAGTAGCTTTCTTCACCAGCGCAGTGAGGAAACTACTAAAGCCCAGCAGCAGCAGCAGCAGCAGCATCAGGTGGACCTGGAGCAGGACCTCAAACAACAGGCTTGGGCCTACTTGGACAGCACCCTGCCAACCGAGGTAGACAATCCCCTTGACTACTGGGCAACGAAACTTGACCTTTGGCCCCAACTAGCTGAATTTGCCCTTGAAAGGCTGTCATGCCCGGCCAGCCAGTAGCGTGGCATCGGAGCGCGTGTTTAGTGCGGCAGGAGGTATTGTAACTCCGCGGAGGACACGACTGTCCACCCAAAGTGTGGAGAGACTCACGTTTGTGAAAATGAATCAGGCGTGGATTAGTCTGGATTTCAAACCACCAGTTCCTGACACAACTGACTAAATCCGCCATGAATCATGCCCCTGCCATGTGCCACTTTCAGGTCTACTCACACTGCTGGTGTGTTCCATTTTTTGTCATAGGGTGCTGGCAGATTACGGGCCTCCCATAGCTGCTGCCAGGCCCCTAATCTGCCATGGGCCCCTGTACCGCCTCCTCATGCTGCTGCCAGGTCCAGAGTCTCTCATGGGTCCCTGTACGGCCTCCCATTGCTGCTGTCTCCATCACTCTGCCATGTGCCACTTTCAGGTCTCCTCACACTGCTGGTGGTGTGTTCCATTTTTTGACATAGGGGTGCTGGCAGATTACGGGCCTCCCATAGCTGCTGCCAGGCCCCTAATCTGCCATGGGCCCCTATACCGCCTCCTCATGCTGCTGCCAGGTCCAGAGTCTCTCATGGGTCCCTGTACGGCCTCCCATTGCTGCTGTCTCCATCGCCCACACTCTGCCATGTGTGCCACTTTCAGGTCTCCTCACACACTGCTGGTGTGTTCCAATTTTTTGACATAGGGTGCTGGCAGATTACGGGCCTCCCATAGCTGCTGCCAGGCCCCTAATCTGCCATGGGCCCCTATACGTACCGCCTCCTCATGCTGCTGCCAGGTCCAGAGTCTCTCATGGGTCCCTGTACGGCCTCCCATTGCTGCTGTCTCCATCGCCACACTCTGCCATGTGCCACTTTCAGGTCTCCTCACACTGCTGTGTGTGTTCCATTTTTTGTCATAGGGTGCTGGCAGATTACGGGCCTCCCATAGCTGCTGCCAGGCCCTAATCTGCCATGGGCCCCTATACCGCCTCCTCATGCTGCTGCCAAGGTCCAGAGTCTCTCATGGGTCCCTGTACGGCCTCCCATTGCTGCTGTCTCCATCGCCACACTCTGCCATGTGCCACTTTCAGGTCTCCTCACACACTGCTGGTGTGTTCAATTTTTTGACATAGGGTGCTGGCAGATTACGGGCCTCCCATAGCTGCTGCCAGGCCCCTAATCTGCCATGGGCCCCTGTACCGCCTCCTCATGCTGCTGCCAGGTCCACAGTGTCTCATGTCCCATGTGCCACTTTCAGGTCTCCTCACACTGCTGCTGTGTGTTCCATTTTTTGTCACACTAGGGTGCCTGTGCACTTTACGGGCCTCCATAGCTGCTGCCAGGCCCCTAATTTTGCCATGGGCCCTATACGGGCCTCCTCATGCTGCTGCCAGGTCCCTAATCTGTCATGGGTCCCTGTACGCCTCCTCATGCTGCTGCCAGGTCCAGAGTCCATGGGTCCCTGTACGGCCTCCCTGCTGTCTCCACGCCACACTCTGCCATGTGCCACTTTCAGGTCTCCTCACACTGCTGGTGTGTTCCATTTTTTGTCATAGGGTGCTGGCAGATTACGGGCCTCCCATAGCTGCTGCCAGGCCCCTAATCTGCCATGGGCCCCTATACCGCCTCCTCATGCTGCTGCCAGGTCCAGAGTCTCTCATGGGTCCCTGTACGGCCTCCCATTGCTGCTGTCTCCATCGCCACACTCTGCCATGTGCCACTTTCAGGTCTCCTCACACACTGCTGGTGTGTTCAATTTTTTGACATAGGGTGCTGGCAGATTACGGGCCTCCCATAGCTGCTGCCAGGCCCCTAATCTGCCATGGGCCCCTAATACTGCCTCCTCATGCTGCTGCCAGGTCCCTGTCTCATGGGTCCCTGTACGGCCTCCCATGCTGCTGCCAGGTCCACAGTGTCTCTGCCATGTGCCACTTTCAGGTCTCCTCACACTGCTGGTGTGTTCCATTTTTTGTCATAGGGTGCTGGCAGATTACGGGCCTCCATAGCTGCTGCCAGGCCCCTAATCTGCCATGGGCCCCTGTACCGCCTCCTCATGCTGCTGCCAGGTCATGTCTCTCATGGGTCCCAGGCCTCCCATTGCTGCTGTCTCATGCCACACTCTGCCATGTGCCACTTTCAGGTCTCCTCACACACTGCTGGTGTGTTCAATTTTTTGACATAGGGGGTGCTGGCAGATTACGGGCCTCCCATTGCTGCTGCCAGGCCCGTAATCTGCCATGGGCCCCCGTACCGACTCCTCATGCTGTGACGTTGCAACAAGGTGGAATTCAACCCTACATATGTTAGACCGCCTTTACGAACAGCAAAAGGCCATCACAGATTTCCTGATGTTAAAAGCGGATAAAGGTACTCCCTGTGTAACTTAGATGTCAGCCATTGGCAGCTCATGCGTGACACCTGCGTTTGCTCAGGCCCTTTGAGGAGGCCACGCTATTCGTGAGTCGGCAGGACTATGGGATGAACGACGTCATTCCTCTGTTGCACGTCCTGGAACAAATGCTGTTAACAATGGCTGGTCAGGGTGCGGTAGACGTGGCGACAGATCTCAACGCCACATGACCCCTGTGGGGGCAGGACAGGAAGAAGAGGAGGAGGTAGAGGAGGACATTGGTGCTCAGGAATTATTGAGTGAAATGGGTGGTTTTTCCACTCAGCGGACAGGAGTGGAGGAGCAGGAGCATCTGGTAGAGGAGGAGGAAGAGGAGACAGAGGACCCAGACGCACCGTGGCAGTATGCTGTGGAGATGGAGGCAGGGAGTCCCTCGCATTCCTTGGCACAAATGGCCCATAGCATGCTCGCTTGCTTGCGTAGCGACAGCCGAATAATAACCATCAGACAGAGGGATGACTTTTGGCTGTCCACCTTGTTGGACCCTCGCTACCGTTCAAAAATGGTGGCCTTTTTCACACCTGCTGAGAGGGAGGCCAAAATAACGTACTATAAAAACCACCTATGTAGTCAGTTGGTCTCTGCCTTCTGCGCCAACGTCCATCCTCAGACACTGTGGGCCCTGTGCGCTCGCGTTCCGCTGCCATGGCAGCAGGGGAGGGGTGGGGTGGTAGGAGCAGTGGTAGCTCCACCAGCAGCGGCTGCCTCAGTCTGCAGTCGATGATGAGTAGCTTTCTTCACCAGCGCAGTGAGGAAATACTAACCAGCCGCAGCAGCAGCAGCATCAGGTGGACCTGGAGCAGGACCTCAAACAACAGGCTTGGGCCTACTTGGACAGCACCCTGCCAACCGAGGTAGACAATCCCCTTGACTACTGGGCAACGAAACTTGACCTTTGGCCCCAACTAGCTGAATTTGCCCTTGAAAGGCTGTCATGCCCGGCCAGTAGCGTGGCATCGGAGCGCGTGTTTAGTTTAGTGCGGCAGGAGGTATTGCTAACTCCGCGGAGGACACGACTGTCCACCCAAAGTGTGGAGAGACTCACGTTTGTGAAAATGAATAGGCGTGGATTAGTCTGGATTTCAAACCACCAGTTCCTGACACAACTGACTAAATCCGCCATGAATCATGCCCCAAACATGTGCCACTTTCAGGTCTCCTCACACACTGCTGGTGTGTTCCATTTTTTGTCATAGGGTGCTGGCAGATTACGGGCCTCCCATAGCTGCTGCCAGGCCCCTAATCTGCCATGGGCCCCTATACCGCCTCCTCATGCTGCTGCCAAGTCCAGAGTCTCTCATGGGTCCCTGTACGGCCTCCCATTGCTGCTGTCTCCATCGCCACACTCTGCCATGTGCCACTTTCAGGTCTCCTCACACTGCTGGTGTGTTCCTTTTTTTTGTCATAGGGTGCTGGCAGATTCCATGTGCCACTTTCAGGTCTCCTCACACTGCTGGTGGTTTCCATTTTTGTCATAGGGTGCTGTATGGCCTCCCATTGCTGCTGCCTCCACCGCCACACTGTGGCTCCACACTCTGGTTTTGGCCCCGTGACTGCCCAAATGAGTGAAGTGTGCGGTGATTCTAAGATCGACGGCACTCATCTGCATGTCATACTGACTGACAGTATTATTTCTCTTCCCCAGCAGACTCCAAGGGCATTTAAATTAAAGGTACAGTGTTCTGCACTAATATAAAGGCTCTCTGAAGCCTAGAAACACCCTTTTATAAGTTAAATTCGCAGCGAATATATTCGACTCAAATCGAAAATTTTTCCACGAATTCGCCGAATCAGTCGAATCAAATTTTTGAATACTTCGCTCATCTCTAGTCATAAGTATTCACAGCCTTTGCTTAATACTTTGTTGAAGCACCTTTAGCATCAATTACAGTCTCAAGTTGTTTTGCGTACAAGCTTGGCACACCTATCTTTGGGCAATTTCTCCCATTCTTCTTTGCAGTACCTCTCAGGCTCCACCAGGTTGGATGGGGAGCGTCGGTGCACAGCCATTTTCAGATTTCTCCAGAGATGTTCAATCGGGTTCAAGTCTGGGTTATGGCTGGGCCACTCCAGGACATTCACAGAGTTGTCCTGTTGAAAGATGAACCATCATCCCAGTCTAAGGTCCAGAGAGCCCTGGAACAGATTTTCATCAAGGATGTCTCTGTACATTGCTGCATTCATCTTTCCTTCGATCCTGACTAGTATCCCAGTTCCTGCCTCTGAAAAATGTCCCCACAGCATGATGCTGCCACCACCACGCTTCACTGTAGGGATGGTATTTGCCAGGTGGTGAGCGGTGCCTGGTTTCCTCCAGACATGATGCTTGGCATTCAGGTCAAAGAGTTCAATCTTTGTTTCATCACACTAGAGAGTTTTATTTCTCATGGTCTGAGAGTCCCTCAGGTACCTTTTGGCAAACTCCAGGCAGGCTGCCATTTGCCTTTTACTGAAGAGTGGCTTCCGTCTGGCCACTCTACCATACAAGCTTGGTTGGTGGAGTGTTGCAGAGATGGTTGTTCTTCTGGAAGGTTTTCTTCTCTCCACAGAGAAACACTGGAGCTCTTTCAGTGTGACCATCGGGTGCTTGGATACCTCCCTGGATAAGGCCCTTCTCCCTCAATCGCTCATTTTGGCAGGGCGGCCTGCTCTAGGAAGGTTCCTGGTGGTTCCAAACTTCTTCCATTTACGGATGATGGAGGCCACTGTGCCCATGTGACCTTCAATGCTGCAGAAATTTTCTGTACCCTTCCCCAGATCTGTGCCTTGATACAATCCTGTCTCAGAGGTCTATGGACAATTCCTTGGACTTCATGGCTTGGTTTGTGCTCTGACATGCATTGTTAACTGTAGGACCTTATATAGACAGGTTTATGCCTTTCCTAATCATGTCTAATCAACTGAATTTCCCACAGGTGGACTCCAATCAAGTTGTGGAAACATCTCAAGGATGGTCAGTGGGAACAGGATGCACCAGAGCTCAATTTTGAGTGTCATGGCAAAGGCTGTGAATACTTCTGTACATATGGGTTTTTTTTCGTTTTTATTTTTAATAAATTGCAAAGATTTCAAAATGAACTTTTTGTTTGTAGAATGTTGAGGAAAAAAATGAATTTAATCCATTTTGGAATAAGGCTGTAACATAACAAATGTGGCAAAATTTTAAACATTGCGTATACTTTCTGGATGCACTGTATAGCACTGTCAATTTACGAAGAGCTTTACATATTTATATTGTACATTCACATCAGTCCCTAACCCTCAAGGGGTGCACAATAAAAGGTCCCTAACTTACATTCATACATACACATACTAGGGCCAATTTAGACAGGATCCAGTTAACCTACCAGCATGTCTTTGGAGTGTGAGAGGAAACCGAAGTACCTGGAGAAAACTCACACAGGCACAGGGAGAACATGCAAACTCCGGGCATCTGGTGCCATGGCTGGGATTTGAACAAACGAGCCTAGTACTGCCTGGCGGAACTGCTAACCATTTAGCCACTGTGCTGCCCATAACACATTTCCTATCCATGTACATGCAATGTACATGCTTATTTTGTAGATTAACTTTTATGGGATATAGTATGAAATGCCTTAGCAAAATCTAGATAAACTACATCCACTGGACTTCCACCATCCAATTTCTCCCTTTCTTCCTTAAAGAACGATAACAGGTTGGTCTGACAAGAACAGTCTTTCATAATTCAATGCTAGTTGTTACTTATGATACCTTTGTGGCGGACATACTTACAGTGGGGATCGAAAGTTTGGGCACCCCAGCTAAAAATTTGTATTAATGTGCATAAAGAAGCCAAGGAAAGATGGAAAAATCTCCAAAAGGCATCAAATTACAGATTAGACATTCTTATAATATGTCAACAAAAGTTAGATTTTATTTTCATCATTTACACTTTCAAAATAACAGCAAACAAAAAAATGGCGTCTGCAAAAGTTTGGGCACCCTGCAGAATTTATAGCATGCACTGCCCCCTTTGCCAAGCTGAGACCTGCCAGTGTCATGGATTGTTCTCAATCATCATCTGGGAAGAGCAGGTGATGTCAATCTCAAAGGTTTTAAATGCCCAGACTCATCTGACCTTGCCCCAACAATCAGCACCATGGGTTCTTCTAAGCAGTTGTCTAGAAAACTGAAACTGAAAATAGTTGACGCTCACAAAGCTGGAGAAGGCTATAAGAAGATAGCAAAGCGTTTTCAGATGTCAATATCCTCTGTTCGGAATGTAATTAAGAAATGGCAGTCATCAGGAACAGTGGAAGTTAAAGCAAGATCTGGAAGACCAAGAAAAATATCAGACAGAACGGCTCGCAGGATTGTGAGAAAAACAATTCAAAACCCACGTTTGACTGCACGATCCCTCCAGAAAGATCTGGCAGACACTGGAGTTGTGGTACACTATTCCACTATAAAGAGATACTTGTACAAATATGGTCTTCATGGAAGAGTCATCAGAAGAAAACCTCTTCTACGTCCTCACCACAAAAATCATCGTTTGAACTTTGCAAATTAACATATAGACAAGCCTGATGCATTTTGGAAACAAGTTCTGTGGACCGATGAGGTTAAAATTGAACTTTTTGGCTGGAATGAGCAAAGGTACGTTTGGAGAAGAAGGGCACAGAATTTAATGAAAAGAACCTCTGTCCAACTGTTAAGCATGGGGTTGGATCAATCATGCTTTGGGGTTGTGTTGCAGCCAGTGGCACAGGGAACATCTCACGAGTAGAAGGAAAAATGGATTCAATAAAATTTCAGCAAATTTTGGATGGTAACTTGATGCCATCTGTGAAAAAGCTGAAGTTAAAGAGAGGATGGCTTCTACAAATGGATAATGATTCTAAACACACCTCGAAATCCACGGGGGATTACATCAAGAGGCGTAAACTGAAGGTTTTGCCATGGCCTTCACAATCTCCTGACCTCAACATAATTGAAAATCTATGGATAGACCTTAAAAGAGCAGTGCGTGACAGACAGCCCAGAAATCTCAAAGAACTGGAAGACTTTTGTAAGGAAGAATGGGCAAAGATACCTCAAAGAAGAATTGAAAGACTCTTGGCTGGCTACAAAAAGCGTTTACAAGCTGTGATACTTGCCAAAGGGGGCAGTACAAGATATTAACTCTGCAGGGTGCCCAAACTTTTGCAGACGCCATTTTTTTGTTTTCTGTTATTTTGAAAGTGTAAATGATGGAAATAAAATCTAACTTTTGTTGACATATTATAAGAATGTCTAATCTGTAATTTGATGCCTTTTGGAGATTTTTCCATCTTTCCTTGGCTTGTTTATGCACATTAATACAAATTTTTAGCTGGGGTGCCCAAACTTTCGATCCCCACTGTATATATAGAGTCCCTTATCGATCCCTTCAAATACCCTGCATACTGTTAACGTTGTCAGTTGTCATCCAATAACAAGTAGTGCTTGAACAAGGATCTCTATTGTGGATAACCAAGTATTATTTTAATGAAAGCTGCATATTTAAAAAGACTGAAAACAACTTTTAAATTTATATTACCATTACCAACTTGCCTGAGGTTTTAGTAATTGAGTTTAGATGTACGTTAAGGCTGAGGCAGAAGATCTAAATGTCTGAGGTTAGTAAATGCATTATATTCAAAATAATTATACCCTGAAAATGACTGTCAAAATTTCCTTTCATGTGCCATTAGCAGGTACCATACACTTGAGGATTTCATACCTATAGAGTTATAACAACAGGCACGGCACTTGGGCACACACTTAACTGCTCAAAGACTCTGCAGTCTGGAGCCAGCTTTGGAAAGTTCTGACTGCTAGAAGACAATGGGATCTCAAGACTTAATGCAGTGTGACAATGCCAAGAGGAACATTCCATCAAACCACTGTGTCAGAAAAAAAGTATCGTTTTGAAGATGGGAAAATAAGAACAGTCAAAATAAAATAAAAATAAAGTAATAACATTATAAAAGTTTCATAGATTAAGCTGAAGACTGGTCCAAAAATGTACCTGTGTAATGGCCGATATTATAGTAATAATAAAAATAGACCTCTATACCATGTGCAGTGCATGAAGAAAACTTCTAGATGAACATTTGTCACATCCAACAATAATTTAAAGTGGTTGTAAAGGTAAAGGTTTTTTTTTTACCTTAATGCATTCTCCATGTTAAGGTAAAAAAAACTTTTAAGAGCAGCCTCCCCCACAGCTAAATACTCACCTGAGCCCGATCTTGATCCAGCGCTGTGCACATCTTCAGCAGCTTTCACTCCCCCTTCTACCAACTTTCACAGGCTTGGCTGAGAGCAGCAGGATCTAATAGCTCCTGCTGCTCTCAGCCAAAAACAGTGAGCAGCAAGTAGGGGGTAGGGCCCAGCCTGCCTGTGTCTGAATAGATGCAAGCAGTTTGGCTCAGCAGCAAGGAATCAGCTTCCTATGGTGGGCAATCGGCAGGGGGGAAGCCAGTTAAGAAAACCAGTACACAGAGCAGGTACCAGGGGTGTATTCACCACAAGGCAAACAAGGCACTTGCCTCGGGCGGCATTTTTCAGGGGGGAAGCACCTCCCCCTAGAAAAAGGGATGGAAGAAGGGACACACGTGCCATGGGAACCAGGTG